TCAAAGTTTATCAATATTCTTCCTTTAACCAAAGCTGGCATGGTTTCATTATTCTGCAAAATATTTGAACCCACACATAAGTTTCAAGAAGCTAATAATAAGATTGGGGGTATGCGATGGACTTACCTTCACGTGGTGCACCCTGGGCAACGTATACACATAAGGCAAAAATGTCTATTAATCGGCAGTTGACTTCTATCTTCAAACTTCCATGACCCCACTGTATGTCATATTTTACCACTTCCGCAGCACTCACCTTACCTTTTCTTCTCTGCCTTTATGTCTGTTTACCTCTTTTGCGTCATTGGATCATTTTTCAGTTCCCCCTCTCGAATTTTTCTCACTTTGATTTTCCTCCCCTCTGTGAAGCCCGAGGTCAGCTAAAGAGCTAGTGATAACTATTATAAAGGCTGCTGGAAAAAACAGTCAAATAATGACTCATATTAATTTGCTCTCATAAGAATAAATAAACCCGGAACTATTTGAACGATTATTCAATTAAAAGTTACAAAATTAGCTTATGCAAACATGATGAATATTGGAAAATCTTGTGGACCTCAGAGCTCATAAACGAGGTATTCAAATTCAAACTTATTTGTAGGGTTTTAAAAACATTGCAAGCACTAGTAAAAAGTCACTTATAATCTAATATTTCCACATTCTCTTCAGTAATAACATTCACCATGTTGTAAATAAGTAAGATTGACTTTAGCTTTCAGATCGTTGGAAACATAGTTATTTAAATGGATTATTGAGCACAAAGATAATGCACCATCATGCACACCTTTGTATCTACTCATAAATGAAAAGTTTTCTCAGTACCTTGGTCACAATGCGTATGCTTAATATTTTTAACGGAATTAACAAACAGAGGTTAACCGGTTTCTAATCCAACACCAAAAGCAGGTCCTTTAAGAATGGCGGCATGCCCAATTTTCTTTCTCATTTGAACCCCCTTCATGCTAAACAAATTTTTTTCCCAATGCAGTTGAATCTTTCCGCTTGCTCTCCGGTAGGGATCATGACACGGAGGAAAAGAAAATTGCCAGGAAACCAAATAGAATATGTCGATACACACATACTCAACAAACTTGCAGACTTCATTTCGCGTGCATTAGATTATCAATTGTTAGATTTATACTCTCTCTCTCACCTGGATATGTAAACCGCCAGTTAAGAACCTACCTCGACAATCATTGGCCAATCCAATTAACCAATCCCATTCAAGTTACTTTATATTCTTTAACTGTAACTCTCTTTGAGGAAAAGAGTCGCACCCCTGTTTCTCTTCTTCTTTTTCTTCTTTTTGGGGTATGAGCAGCTGTTGCGTTATGAGGGTAATTGATTAACAAGAACCTCCGAAGAGATTCATGCCACTTTTGAACTAATTCCGTTTTCTGATTTTTTTAATATTTGTTTACCAGAGTAAAAAAATAATTGTTAATGAATGTCTTCCATTTACAGCACAGTGGAAAATGGTAGTTTTGACCAAATGGAAGTGATAATCATCATATTTGTGGAATAACTTAAATAAAGACAGAGTAAAGGAATAATATTTGGAAGAATAGGTTTGAATTATTTTCGCTCGAAAATGCTTCAACATTTTAAAATTTTTTTCCCATTCTATTTACGCATTAAAATGCCAATTTGATCATTAAAATGATAGGTTAATTTTCGTATTATAAATATTGTTTTTAGGAATGGTGTAACTTTCAATAATATCACTTTGCAAATAGTGAGTATTTTAAAATACGAATATACCATTTGTAAATGTGAGGATATCTCTGGAGCTCTAGTTATAGTTTTCGATCAATTGGCAAAATATTTTTTGTTGGCAAAAAACTCCTCTCCGATTTGAAAATTGTTTTAAACTAAATTTGTGGTAACTGAAAGGAATTTTGAACGATCACATTCCATGACATCATCAAGGAACTCTCACTCACTGGATTGTCCGCTGTAGAAGTAAGCTTACGCCACCATCTTGTAAAACCCTAAATTTAAATAAGCCAACATTTATAGCCTTGAAGCTACCTAAAACTTAATTTAGCAGAGCTCAAAAATGTGCAGTTTGTTTGCTTAGGTGTTTGAAAAGTGACTCAAGTAGTAAATATGCAAGCACAAATTAAGCTCTTAACCGGGTAACTGAACACAACCCTTGATGTAAAGCTCATTAGAATAATCCAGTTTTGCAAGTCGCGAGGTCTCCGTTTCCATGAAGAATTCAGGAAATCCCTCTCGACGATACAAATTGAATTTCAAATGAAACAATAGTATTTGCGTTCTTCCACATTTTACTTTGTTGTTAATTTAAAATTATTTTTTGTTAATTTTAGGCAGAGTTGTATTTCATTAAAATCCACCCCTCCCCTCCCTTCTTATTTTCAATAAGTGGAATACTTGTTTACCCATGGCCCTAGCTACGTAATCGGTAGGGCAGAACTTCCACCTTGTATGGGAGCAAGCCCTTAGGGGCATTTTTTATTCACAAAATGTTGTCTGATCGGGGATCTGAAAAGCTAATTAATCAAATGTTGCATACCGAATGCATAAAAAATTGGCACTTTCACTCCTACCCTAGCGTACATTCCTTTGAAAGTTTGCGCTCCATGACAGCTTGTTCTAGCTATTTACAAATATAGCAAAAGAAATGTGATAGGAAGTTCGATGGCTTAAATACAGTCGTTATATATACTACAAGCATATATAGGGTAATAGTAGTTCTGTAGGAGCACAAAAGTGAAGAAAAAAGCTTTAAATGTGATTAATATTTGGGAATGCTACCATCCCATGGTAGCATAGTCACTTCGCATTCACAAAGAATGAAGATCCTATTGAGTATAACCCATGTTCTTGTCAATAGCCACTGACCTCAAACGTCGACCTGTTTCACTTTAACGGGCTGGGTTGTTGCATCGCACTTGGCGACCTACAATGTGCTACAATATGAGAACGGGGAGAAAGTTGAAGCTAATGATACCGAGTATGACGAACCATTCACTACAAAATGTCCTATAATGCTTTAATGAACCATTACTCCGATATGGGAGTGTGGGTGTAAGTGATGTCAAGGCTATGAAGCCGATGTAGTTCAGTGCCCAAATTGTGTTACTGTCAAGCCAGAGATCATGAGATCAATTTCGATTGTCCACTTTACTCGGATCAACATAAGATGTGGTAGAATATGAGCGACACAGAAGATCGGCTCCACCTATCATCTTAGGAAATTTTCATGTCTTAACTATGCTAAAGTTATAATCTGTGTGTGTAACCCATGAAAAATTCAAGTTTTGAACCAATTTTGCATCCAGTGGGGCAAATGTGTAATGATCGAAACGATGAATCAATAATTAATATTTAGTTCAATCCAATAAGATCTTCAAACTACCTTCTACCCTGTTCATTTAACGAAATATTCAACCTTACTTGCATCTATTTTCCCATTTTACCTTTGCTTTAAACATTGACCTGGGATTTTTATCAAATGGTTCATAAGAATAAAAATTTGAATTCTCACTGTTATAAATATAAAACGTGTAATTGCAAAAGTTTGTCTTGCATAGACGGGTTTCCAAGAGCACAAAACTTAATGTAAGAACAAAAACTGATTAAGTTAGAGGAACTGCGTCAATTAGAATTGGTAGACCTCAAAAACTGTCTGTATCATACAGGTAGAGGAAGGAGATAGGAACCTCCCATATTTTAAAAATAATAACATATATTTTTCCCATTTCTGCTTGTTTGTTTAATTTAATGCTGACCATATGAATAATTTGAGTTTACTCAATTTTAAATTCTTCCAAAAATTTGTTTTATTATACCGAAAATAGAAGAAACACGACCCTGCTCATGCCAACCCCCCCCCCCCCCCCCCCCCCCCCCCCCGACTCCCCACTCCAAACCAGATGCTTTCATACCATTTGGCATCCTTAATTTTGGGATAGCTAGACAGTGAACAGGTCCAAATTGCATGATAATTGCTCTGTGGTTGGGATTATGCTTATATGCAAAATAACGAGAGCCCAAAGTCTAATTTATTAATTTTTGATCACTGGTCATATCAATTCGAGACATCTCTCTGTAATGGAGTGGCCGAGATACTGGTATGATAGTACAAGATAGAATTCGAATGAAGCTTCTCTCTTATTTTAATAGAATCCTGACTGGATAAAAGCGAAATTCCCTTTTTAACTCAACTCGATTGGTTATTTCAACTATGTGGATCATTTTGGTAAAAGCAACATCCACTTCATTTCCTTCAACACCAGAACATACCTCCTCCATCTCGATTACTTCCTTTTCAAAGACTTCTTGCGATCCAAACTCCATCTTACCCCCCCCCCCCCCAGCACTAGTCATTACTCTTCTCTAGTGAAAAGGGTGAAACTATGAGGAACATATCTGGGTTGCGGCGCATTGGTCAGTGAGTTCGCCTACGAGGCAAGGGACAATGAACTTAACATTGACCAAGTGGTGTGGATGATCACCGGTCCCAGTCAATTAGATTCAATAATAATAATAACGAGATTTTCAGAAAGTTATTTGTCTATTTGGTTCCTAAAATATAGTTCCATGAAATGAGATTTTCCGTTTAACCGCCCTGGGCGGATTTTCGGAAAACAACAGTAGGCCGCCAGTTTCTTATAATACCTTCATTCTGTTTTTAACGATTTCAATCAACTGGTGAAATTCTCAAATTTTTACTTTTATCCCATCTTACTAGTTCTATGAATAAGTAGACAAGTTAAATGATTAGATAAGCAAAATTCCTTAATGTAAAAGCTTCCTATACATTCTTAGAAATCATAATAAGTCAAGTATGAAAGGTGAAAATGTACGCCTTAATATCTTCAAAACCCAAAAGGCAGAAACGAGCCAGAGGAAAATCGCAACAAATAGCAAGACAAAAGCAAGTAGTATAATATGATAACATGATAAAAAAGCAAGGAAGAAGCAAAATATACATACGCGGAGAAACATAGACACAAAGCAAAACGTACGATTTAGGAAGTAAATCCAGGATTATCAATTCCTCCAAGACATGTGCCAGCTACTCGGCGATGTCTAGACGTCTCCTCTCGACCCGGAGGAGACTTAAAATCTGAAGGAGAAGTTAAAGATCCTTCAGGGGCGGCTTTGGATATGTAACCATTAGTAGTAAGGCAGAAGATATCAAAATGTTGGAAGAGGCTGGAACAAACACGACCCTCAAATAGGTCAGTCTCTTGATTCAGAAACATCACAGGGCAGATATTTTGGCGTTTACAGAAGGCGGCAAAAGATTCACACTCGGTGAGGTGGTCAATAACGCTTGGTCTCTCATAGATCACAAAAAAAACTGGTCGGTAGGCTCTGTGGAGGTGTTGCCTAAGGTTCACAGATGTACTCAGTAAAGGTGACTTGATTTTTGAGTTTTGTTGACGTCGAATTACATCAGCTCTACGTATTGGGGAACTAGTTGCTGCTTCCGTTTTCTGAACTTTCGACATAGGGGACCGCACTCTAGATCCAGTTCTGATATTACTCACGGTTATAGTTTCCTCATCTGAAGGGAAGATATCATAGAAATCAGTCACACCAAGGGGTTCATTATTTCCATTTGTAAAAATTGTTGCATTTTTAGAATTCGAATTTTCCATGGCGCCACCATTATTACAAAGAGTGGACTCAGAATTAGGGAGAACAATTAGATTTCGATAGCCATAAATATCAGGACGTTTAATTTCTAGCTCAGCACCACAAGGCGCCAGAAAGTGAGTGACAATATTCAAATTGTGACAATTTTCTCCACCAACTTCATTATGCCGAAGGCCAGGTTTTGTCCAAATTTCAGGCAAACGCCAAGAGAGCTGTTCACCAGTCCCTGTCATCGGAGACGTTTTGATGCATTTATTTGACGAAGAAGGTCTGCAAGCTTCCTCGTGGAGTAAATTAATAGACATTTCAAGAGTTGAGAGGGAAGTAATTCTACCGATACGTATAGCTTTTACTAATACCTCAGCAACATAGTCTGCAGCACAATGGACAGATTTTAGTCCTTGAAGAAAGCCAATTTGGTATTCATAAACAACACATATGTGTTCTGCAAATCTTGTGGCATTAAATCTCCGTTCGGATTCAGTTGTATTTTTGAGAATTAACAGAACGCGCAGTTTTTCAATATATTCAAATGAAGAAGAAGAAATATCCTTGGCATCAATTTGAGATAAACATCCATTAGAAAAATTAGGAAAATGCAGTTGAGGAAAGTCTGAAGAAAAACCAATATCCAAATCAGAATTAGAATCAGAGTACTCTGAAAGAGGTATTCGTTTACTGGATAGAATACGGGTCAAAGAAAGTCGCATCATAAAAGGCGAATTAGTCAGAGATCGAACTTTGGGAGATCGATTGTGATTAGAAGGTCGAGAAAATAACTGTTTGCGTCGATAAGCTCCACATTCAAATTCAGACGCTTTGCTATTAAGAGAAATGCGATCACAATCAGTGCTAAGACTCCGGTTTTTAAGATTATTACCAAGATAAGAGAGTGGGGATTTCGCTGGAGAATTCAAAGACCGAATAGTAGTTTGCGATTCGCGAAGAGAATTTACACTATCTCTTTCAGAATTTATTTCAAAATCCGAACTTGCAAATATTTGTAGTTTATGTTCGAAAGATTTTGTTAATCTGTTGATAAACCATTTCAGATGAAGCAGTACTTTGGCATGATTTAACGAGGGACTGTTCAACATCATTTTGATATATAAGAAATATATTGGAAACGCGAGGTGTAAATAATGGGATATGGAATTTTAGTGAATGTTTCTGCCACAGCGATAACACGAGAATTAAGGTGAATGGGCTTGTACATCGCGGTGGCTTTCATTATATATTTAAACTAAATTATTAAAGCATATAATATTTTTTATATTTTAAAAAGTAAATTGAAGCTTATTCAAAAATAATTAAAAATGTTGGAAAATATGTTACAACCTTGAATATTGTCTCCTGCTTAAGGATTGGCCGACTTTTGGGCATCTTGTTCGAAGGTTCAACATTTAATCATATTTGTTTTTGTTCGTGAAGTTACATGAAGTCATTGGAACTTTATAATAAGCTAAGGACATAACAGGGTTTGTTTTCTTAATTTTTAATCTAACATTGTTTTTTATCTGTCCATTCACTCTAATGTATTGGCTCGATTTTAGTTTTTCTTACTCTCTCTTTTACGCATAATAACACTTTTTTTCGCCTTAAATAGTTTGTCTCTACAGATTGATTGCAACTTTAACTTCAATTAAGTTTTCTCTTTCCACAGAGTAATCCTGTGCATTGTAAGATTATTTGCCTTTATTTAACCTGTTAATATTTTATTTTAGTATTTCTAAAAATGCCAGCTTCCGTTAAAGTGAAGATATTCGCAGCTCGAAATCTTCCAGTTATGGATCGCACCTCTTTCCTAACAGACGCGTTCGTCGAAGTTCGTCTGGGGAACACAATGTTTAAAACTGAGGTTATTCGTCGAACCCTCAATCCGGATTTTAATTCTGATTGGTTTTGTTTCGAACTCTCTGAAGAATCTCTTCAAGAGGAATTTCTCCAAGTTCGAGTTCTTGATCATGATACCTACAGTGCCCATGACACTATAGGCAGGGTCTACTTCGATCTAAGACCACTACTGCAAACCGAGCAGAAACGAAATCTCAGTGGTTGGTTTCCTCTATTCGACACCATGCATGGAATTCGTGGTGAGATTCGTCTGGCTGTTCGTGTAGATCTCTTTTCTGATGTATGTAGGCATCGATTCTCATCCCTCGGTGTTCGATTCTTTTTTAGTAAGTCGTGGTTTTACTATGTTCCACCAAAAAAGGCACGGATTTGATGCTGTAAATTATTATCGCCAAGCATTTTTGGATTCTTACCCATTCATTTATTTTTCACTTTTTTTATTTGAGATATGTGTTTCATTGCTGCAAGTTGAAGAAAAATATGAATATAAGCCAAAGTAAATTGCCTAGGTATTTCAAATTAAGTTGCATTTATGTCACAATGGTGCGTTAATTGCTTTTCTCTCCTATTGTTTCTCCGGTAATTTGGTTGCTTTAAGTGAATATTCGATTAATTTTGTGCATTTTGAATTGGAAAGTATTGAAAATTCCTTTATGCCTATTTCCATTGGCTTCTCTCGGGTTCTGAATTCACAGAAGACGTCAACCAACACTTATTAATGCCTGTCATCAAAGGCTATCAGCTTCCACACAAGTAAAGCTTATCGGATATTTATTTGTCTAGTAGGTGCAAATCTCAAACAGCCAATCTTTAGATAGAAACCATGTCCATTTGATTTGGACGTACTTTTAAATAATCACTAGCTTATCGGTTTACTTCTAATGAAGTGGTTAATAAGACGGATGGTAGAATGCACATCTCTCCCTTACCTTCGTTGAGCGTCATGATTATTTTTCGAAATTGACTTGCTATCCTCTATTACCCTAAATTGGTTTGGACTTTGTTATTCCACTATCATAAATCGTAGTAATACTTCTCAAGCCCATTTAGTAGAGACTGTTCTAACTCTTCTCTCTCTCTCGCTATTGACCAAATTGAGCCAGTGTGGCTGACTATTCTGCTCACTTGGTGTGCGCCGATGGGAGACGAACCTGTGGCTTCTGACACGATGGACAATTGTGGTGATTTATGTGCCACCGATTCAAAATCATTATTTTAATGCTGGCTAAGAATTTGGGGACGGCTTCTCAGTCGACTTTGTTCTGACTTTCTGAACATATTTCTCCCATTAATATATCGAAATATTCTGTTGTATAACTTCAGGTATTTTTGTGCAACCATACTACGACTACGACAAAAGGTTAGGATTTGTTAGTTTGTATTGAACCACGCAGAAGTTTATTTGACAAAAAATGCTCACCAGAATGAATGCACATTTTCCATGCTGCCTGATAGCTCATGTATCTTCTCCCACTAGGTAGCTTATTATTTATTTATTTATATCAAATGGCAGGCGCTTTGATAGTCATCATTGGCCCTTTAGTCGACTTAGGGCTTCATAGGG